AACAGAATCCTTTACAAAGCATTTGTCAAAACTCTAGCCAAGTGCAATAAATGCACACTTGTAATACAAGCAACTCAGGATGCTGAGGCAGGAGAATCATGAGTTCAAAGCCAGCCTCAGTAGATTAGTGAGACACTTAGCAACTCAGTGAGACCCTGTCTCTAAATAAAAAACATTTCAAAAAGGGGCTGGGAATATGGCTCAGTGGTTTAAGCCCCTGGGGGTTCAATCCCCAGTACCAAAACAAAATGAAACAAAACAAAAAAACTCTAGCACAAAGGTTTAAAATGAATATAATCAAGCCTTCAGGCCTCATGCACAGTTTAGAAGATACAAAATCAGTGAACAGTCCTAGATTGAAAACACAAAATGAAAGGACATTTTGGGGTCACTGAGGAAATCTGAATGGTCTAAATATTAGATGACCTAGAAGTTAATTTTCCTAGTTGTTATAATAGTACTATAATTATATATGCATACAAGTCCCCTATTTTTAAGACTTGCATGCTAACTTATTCAGGGACAAAGTGTCACTATGTTGAAGTCTTATGTTTCAATGGATAAGAAAAAAATACAGATACAACTAAAGAGAAGACTAAAATATGGGTGATCACTATAGTATGTTTTTAAAATTTTTCTGTACATTTATATCATTTTGTAAGCTCAGAAAAATAAATAAAATTTACTTTAAAATACTTAATATATTTCTTTCTTTCTTTCTTTCTTTTTTTTTAACAAGGGCTCAAAGGAAGCAGGAACTGAAGTAGAGGTAGGAACTGCAAAGGAAAGTTTCTACAGAGAAAAAGAACAGGAATCAGCACTAGAGAAAATTAAGATTACAACATTGTAAAGCTGGAAAATGGAGGATTTTGTCATTGGTTTCAACTTTGAGGGCAGCAATTAAATTATATTGATATTTCTGACCTTAACTTTCACCTCTTGTTTAACTTTCAAAATTCTCTTTTGTACTTTACAAAACTCTCTACTTTTGTAGATTGTCATGTACAATGGGAAGAAATATTTGAGTTATTAGTCTTCAGGATCAAATATGGTCCATGTTGCCCCCAAGTCTAAGTCTAAATCTATATTAATTGCTGGCTTAATATTTTTCTGTGAGTACATAATGGTCAGTTGTGGAACACGCACTGGAATGTCTATGCTGATTTCTGTCATCATAAGAATGGCACTGATTATAGAATACCATCAGTCACCTGGCCATCAGCTTTTGTTACCACTAGGAAAAATAAATCAACTAAAAAAGGTCAATTTGCTCAGGCCATGTAAACACTGTTACCACTTTCATGGAACTGCATCATTATAATTAGACAGGAAATACAGATGTTCTGGCTATAATCACAGAGGTGTTTCATTATATATTTCTTCCTAAATTGAAATGGTAAGGATACAATACATGGCTAAGCCATTACCTATAGGTCAACTGTGGCTTCAAGCTCATTTCAGAAATACTTTTTACACTTAAAACTGATTCAGAGTGGGTGTACAGACAGGAAAGTCTAATTTTACCTTCTAAATATGGTCTAACAGTATGTCTACGAGGAAACAGAAAAAACAGACAATGAATTTTTATCTTATTTTCCCCTACACATTAGAAAAAGAGTGAGTCATCTAATTTTCCTTACTAGTTTGTCAAGTTCTGTCTGATTTCCATGTCTGTTTCTTCATTTGTGAAACAGAAATAACATACCTGCTTTGTCTACCTTAAAGGGCTGAGATATGGCGAATTGAATACCGTGGAGACTTTCTTCAAATAAAGGAAATAACTTTAAAACCATTATCTGCTTAGTTATGAATATGAAGAAAGGACCTACAGAATGGGAGAAACTCTTTGTTGGCTACTCTTCTGACAGAGAATTAATATCCAGAATATTAAAGAATTCAAAAAACTTAACACTGGAAAAACAAATAATCCAATTGATAAATGGACTAATGAACTAAAAAGACACTTTTCAAAAGAAAAAATAGTAATGACCAACAAATAGATGAAAAAAATGTTCAACATCTTTAGCAATTAGGGAAATGCAAATGAAAACTACACTGAGATTTTATTTCACTCCAGTTAAAATGTAAGCTGGAGTGGATATTGGGAAAAGGAACACTTTTACACCATTAGCAGGAATGTAACTAGTACAACCACTATGGAAATCAGTATGAAAATTCGTCAAAAGACTAGGAATGGAACCACCATATATCCCAGCTAGTAACCACTCAAGATTTATCCTGAGAAACCAAAGTCAGCATATTATAGCAATACCTGCATACCTAATTCACAATAGCCAAACTACGGAACCAGCCTAGGTCTTTCAATAAATGAAGGGATAAAGAAAATGTGGTACATTATACATAATGGAGTTTTCAGTCATAAAGAAGAATGAAACTGTGTCATTTTCTGCAAAGATAGATAGAATAAGCCAAACTCAGAAAATCAAGGATCTTATGTTTTTATATGTGGAAAGTAGAGAGGATAAAGGAAAAGAAAGGTAGGGAGGGGAGAATCTCAAGAAAAGCAGAGGAGGACCACAGGAAAGAGACCAGACGGAGGGAGGAGCAGAGAGGAAATATTGGAGAATTATATTGACCAAATTATATTGTTATATCATGTGTATGTACAAATACGGAACAATGAATCCCACTATTACATGTAATTAAAATGCATCGATAAAAAATATGAAAAAATATTTGTTTAGATTAAATCTTAATTTGGTTTATGACTATTTATACTCTACAGTACAAGAAGAAAAAAAATTGGTAAGATTGCATTTTTACTATCTAGTTATCTAGTACAAATCAAGTTAGACATAATTACATATGGTAGAACTCTTCCAAAAATATTTAGCCTGAATCTAGTGAAACAATTAGTCACATACATTACAAGAGAAAAATTGGCCTGAACTTTTAAAAAATGGTAATGTCATGAAAGATCAAAACAAACAAAGGTAGAACATGAAGAGCATACTTTTAGATAAAAGGAAATAAAGTACTTGGTGATCAGAGGTTCTAGTTCAAACAAAAAAAAAGTTACAAAGAATATTTTGGGGACAACTGGGGCAATTTGTTCTGCATATTAGATAACATTGTATCAACAATAAATTTCTTTAGAATGATAATATTTTGGTTCTGAAAAAAATGTGCTTTAGGAGAAATATATCAAAATATTCAGGGGAGACATGTTATACTGTGTACCCTGATTTTCAAATGATTCAGGAGAAAATTAACTAGAGAGAAAGCATGTAACAAAAATATTAACAACAGCTGAAGAATCTGGGTGAAGGATATATAGGTATTTATTATTTTGTTTTAATTTCCAAAAGACTAAGATATAGAAAAGTGAGATTAAAGAGAAACACTATATGAACAAACTAAAATAAAATAAAAGGTGGCAAGTAATGAAAAAAAAATCAACTTTTCATTACTAAAATCACATTTCTATAAACCTAATTTTTCTAAATAAATTCACTGTGATAATATTGATTAATTACTTATTTATATTATTTAGGAAGAACACTAATACTTCTAATAAACAAAAGTTAAATTAGATGGTCCCACAATATTATAAAAAGTTGGTGGTGCATGCCTATAATCTCAGTGACATGAAAGGCTGAGGCGGGAGGATTGCAAGTTCTCAAGGTCAGCCTCAGCAACTTAGGGAGGCCCTAAGCAACTTATTGAGAAGTGAAACCCTGTCTCAAAATTAAAAATAATAATAACAAAATAAAAAAAATTATAAGCCAATGGGGATGTAGTTCAGTGATAAAGCACTTCTGAGTTTAATACCTAGTACGTCAAACAACAATAACAAAAAACCCACTATAAAACAACTTTTTTTTTTTTTTTAAAGTCTTACTAAAGGAGTTCCTTTAGGAGAGGAAAAAAAAAAGCAGTGTAATTTCTAAAAGCAGGATGGACAGCGAGACAAAAACTCCATTATTGGAAAAGGTTATGGAATCAAACAAGTCCATATAGACCAGAAGACTGTGCTGACATGTTTTCAGGAATACACTATTCTATAAAAGGACATATGATTTTACATTTTTCTTTAAAAGTTTAAAGTAGAACATGTATAGTAACAGATGTGATAGTTCAAATTTTATCATGTACTCACTTCAGTTAAATCACTCAAAAGGCAAGTAAAATAAAACTAGAAACAAGTGCTACCCAACAGGCAGAAAATACAGTATTTTACTCTAGAAATACCACTAAAGTGTTCTAGAGTAGGAATACTATAAAAGAGAAGAAAGAGACTATCTCATAGATACTAGAATTGAAAACATGAAACTAAATTTAAGACAGTGAGAAAAAACAAACTAAGTCTGCTTTATTTGGAAAGTTTTCCTACATAATTTTAGTTTAAAAAAATTATAACTAAATTTCAATAGTTTTTTGTTTTGTTTTGTTTTGTTTTGGTACTGAGGATTGAATCAGGGACACTCGACCACTGAACCACATCCCCAGCCCTATTTTGTATTTTATTTAGAGACAGGGTCTCACTGAGTTGCTTAGTGCTTCGCTTTTGCTAAAGTTAGACTTCCCTGTCCTGACAGAAGATTGGACAACTGCCCAACGATTCCAAAAGAAATCAGAAGAGATATACTCAGGCATATCTTTTTATGGGTTGATTTGAATATTAACTACAAAGAGCATCATTGTAACATGAGCTAACATTTTATGTTTACATAATCTCTTAAATAAATTCATGAAAAATGTAAATATCTTGTTAATGTGGAGTTACATTCTTTAACTTAAAACTTATTTACCAGTATTGGTTTCTCTTACTGTGTTCTTAGAAAAATATACAGTATTTCCTTTAATGAATAAGTTCTTTAAAGCAAAGAAATAAGAACAGAGTAAATATTAAATTACCTTTATGAACTAATCTGTTTTTAGGAATCCTTTCTTTATAGGATGGCAACAATGTGAATGAAGTATATAAACAAGAACAAACTTCATAAAACATTTTATTTTCAAAATAGCATTTCCTTTACCTTATGAATGGGCACTACCAAAGTTGGTTCCATTTTAGCTTCAATTTCTTCCGGACTATAAAAACAATACAGTTTACCTCCTCTCAAAACACAATACAACCTCCTCCAACTAATCAGACCTTCCACCATTTGCTGGAAAAAGAAAAAAAAAATCAAGAAACAATCATCTATAGATCATTATCACCTTCCTTCTAAACTCAATACAACACCTAAATAATTAAACTTATATTCACTTTTTAGACCTTTTAAAATGTGATGAAATAACCTTCTAATTTGCTTTACAATAAGTTCAACTGCCTCAAATCTGAAAGAAAGTTAATGTCAGAGAAGAAATGTCTGGAATTCTGAAAAGCATTAAAGCAAAATGAAAGTAATTATTACCATATAACTTTTACACACATAAAATCATAAATCAATGTTTTAGGAAAGCTAGTCTATTAAAATTAGTGCTTAGATTCTCACAGCAATTCATCAAATGACTCAGGAAAATTATAAAAATAACTCTCAATGTTGAAAATATAATTTTCCCTTACTGTTCTCAGAACATTAGAAAATGTTGACTACCTGGTAAGAATGCAAATTTTCTTTCCCCCTAATGGAATCTTTTAGAAAAAGCTATTGATTCATTGAAGCCCACAATTAATTATTTACTGAATATAAATAACTATGGCTATAAATAAATCAGGAGTAGGTGGCAAAGAGGCAGCTTTGGAAGCCCAGAGGCCTAAACTGTGCCAGAAGCTGCTTGCCAGAAGGGCCTTTTTGTGAGCGATGTTGCACAGCCATCATCAGTTTCCACAAGGAGTCCTCTGTTGCCGATTACCTGCTACTTACTGCAGGGTCATGAAGCAGAGGATCAGGGAGGAGTAGCTCCAGAGCCATCAAAACAGCATCAGACCCCTGCCCTTGCCATCCTTCTCACCCCAGCACTTCCCACAGTCTATGTTTAACAACATTTAGAAAACAAACATTTAAAAAAAGACTTCTCAATATTAGTAGGTCAAACAGCTGTCTGTATATTAAGATTTCAACTAAAGCTACAATTGTTGTAGGATATTTAAAGTCCTCTAACCTGCTGATTAAGAAATCCTGCACATGCATCCTCAGCCATACAAGCTGGCTGGGCAACTAATCGGCAGCACATGTTGCCATATAAGGGAAGCCAAAATGAAGACTCCTCTATTCAAAGGAGAAAGAAAAAAAAAAACTCAAGTTATAAATATATGCTTATTTGAGGTCATTACACATTTTGGTATTTCTTTTTATAGGTTTTTCATTATACATGAACATATTTTTAAATTAGTTTCATATAAAGGTTTTTACCTACTCATGTACCAGTATTATATTTAATGACGATCAAATATAAGCAAGTAGAGAGGATAGGATAATATTAAACTGATAGTTTAGAGTATGTGATCACCTGGAATAATCATGGATCTTTTAGCCTCTTAATTTTATTTGATCTTAAAAGTAATTATTCAATAGGGATTATTCAGAGACTAGAAGTAATCTCTTTTAATATAAAAACATTCTAATGATTTGTTGGTCAAATTCCACTTATTGCTCATTATGATAACTAGCAAGAGGATCCTCTGAATGAAACATTATTTCAGCCAATAACTTTCTTCCATCTTCCCTTATTGAACAATTAAGTCATAATCCATTAGGTACAGCCCCCCAAGATCATCTGTGCAGGGATTGAGGAAGGAGCTATGCTGTCCTTGAGCTGGGTATGGGAGCCAGACAGAATGAGGATAAGCAGGAGGGCTGCCAGCATGAGGCAACAGAACTTGAATGGGCTGAAAGGATGTTCACATCCAGGCACAGCCTACACTGGGGAATCTGTCTGGAGTAGGGAGAGTGAGGAGGGCAGACAGAGGTGGGTACTAGAGCCATAAGGGGTGGTGTGATGCGGGGAGTAAGAGCCTCAGCAGAGTGAGGAGGGCCTCCTTATGGAGTGACCACCTGATGTGAAGCGTCAGAACACAAGCAGAATAACAGTGACCACTTTTGGTGGGCATCCCACTCACGGGAATCAGAGACTGAAAGCAGTGAAGGAGCCATCCACACATGGTGTGAATAGGCTAGTGTTGTCAGAACCCGACCTCCAAGAAGAAGGGCAATCAGTGTTCCTTAAGAACAAGGCTGACTCCAGGGATGGGCCAGGGGAAATACATGAGAAGCTGGAATATTTAGGTATGTCACTGAGCAGGAAAGTGCTCAAAGAAAGATATCAAAAAGATGAACACCATACTAAATATGGGCTCCCACTCTCCCAATCTGGAACAATTTGACACTTAAAAAAAACAGTGACATCAATGGGTAATGGTACATTGGGTAAAACAGAAAAACATGAATCCAAAAAGTAGAAGTCTTATAAGAAATGTATACTTACGTAGTTTCAAAGCACCTACTCCCACCACAAAATATGTATTAATTTGAAAATACAGAGCAAAAGAGTAACTTTACAGTAGACAAACTTAACAGATGCCACTTTAACCAAGTGTACTGGGATGAATCAAAATTACATGCCACTTGATAGGATACAACAAGAGCAAAACATCATTGTTAAAGATACATATTCTGAATCTTAATCCATATAAACCTAAAATGAGAAACTTTTACAAAATAACCAACTATAATACTGAAAAATATCGAAGTCATAAAAGTCAGCAAAAGACTTAGGAAGTGGTCCAGACTGAAAGAAACTAAAGAAGTATGATAATTAAATTTAATGTGTAATTCTGCACTTTTTTTTTTTTTAGTATAAAGAACACTATTGGAACAACAAGCAAAACTTGAGAATAATTAGATGGTAGTAATGTTTTAGTTTTCTGAGTTGGTAGTTGTGGTGACGTAGTGGAATGAGATGATAGTTGTTAACCTATTAACATTCTCAGGGGTAATTCAGCATCATGTAAGCAATTTGCTATAGTGTATTTTAGTGTGTAAGCAAGTATATATCCTTTGTATAGAAGGAAAGTATTGAATAATTTTTTCTGTGCATCAGGTACAAATAAAAATCCAACTGTTAGTGGACTACCCATGGCTCTTAGTGCACACTGATCCACACATAAATGACTTTTGAAGTTTTCACTGCACTCTTATGGGCAGTACCTATAAAATGGCTACCATTAGCTATAATTATTATTTACATAAAAAGTCTTAGTAACTCTGAAAAAAATGGTTTTGGTAAATATAGAGTTATTTAATACATAGATGCAGGGTAGCCAAGATGTTTTATTTGGTTAAAGGAAAAAGAACAGCCATAACATTGAACAGAAAGTAAAACAAAAAAAGTTTTCAATAACTTACCTACCCAACATTCTACTATGGAATAGCACACAACAAATTTTCTGGGACTATTCAAATCTTTTTAAATTAATACCTTGTTAAAGCTGCTAACTTTTAGAAATAAAGGGCTTGACCTGGGAGAAATAAATGTATAAACATAATACATGGATGATTCAAACATGCAGACACAAATAAATAAATGAGTCACATTTTCTTAACATAGGCAGGAAATGCAATAAGAATTCCATAAAGGCATGTATCTGAATAGTATATCAGAAATTTTTTATATAGGGAATCACAGATTTATGAATGAATTATGCTCTAAATACCTATAAGCCAGTTGTTTTTAAGTTAGAATATACTTCCTAAAGAAACAGAATAACAAATGATTTGATTTTCAGACCAGAATGTAAACTTAGTGCAATCAATAATATAAATATAACCAAATACCATATGTAATAATGTGTTTCTCTGTAAATAAGTTGAGATTTTATGTGATGTAAAGGAAAATAATTACTTCCTGCCTGCATTTCCTGAAAAGTGAATATAGAATTCCTTGCTCCACAGCCTGCTTGCACAAACTCTGCAGTCACCTATTACTTCTAACCTGGGTTTCTCAGAGTTGGGAACCCCTGTGGAAGACAGTATAGAGCCACAGCTCTTCCATACTTCTGACAAGAAATATGGCATCCAAGGCTAGCCATTTATATGTCTAAGTATTAATTTCTCATTTAAAAAATACCACTTACCTTAAGTAGGGGGTTTGATATGAAAATAAGATAATGCATACATGACATTTATTATATGCCTGGCACATAATAGATGCTTTTCCTAATTTCATAACTAGGGCAATCTCACTGCCAAACCACACCCACAGCTAAAGGAGCCTGAAGCAGAGTAAATAAAATAAGCTTTACTCTTAATTATATCACAGTGAAACTTCGGATAAACAAAGGCAAAGAGATTAATAAATAAAACGATACTTTCACAGAGGTGAAAAATAATTCTCAATAATCAATAAAGGAAACCAAAAATAAAGTGGAGTTTGGCTTGATTTCAAACCTAAATATGAGACAGGTCTTTAAATTTCAGCTAAAAAAGTAGTGAAGTCATCAACTTCAAGTCAAAGATAAGGACTCAGACAACCTCTCACTAAGTCTTAAAAGCAAATCTCAGCATAAAGAAAGAAAAACACTTCCTATTTGGGAAAGGGATAGATACATTTAAAAGAACCTAGAGAATCACTCATGCCCATATTACTTAAGCCAACATCCAAATCAAAACATTAAAATTAGAAATAATCAATGTCACCACATATATATTGACATACTATATGTAGTAAATAAAAATATATAATGTACTCACCATTTCCATTAATAGATAGATTGTGAGTCTTGAAGCTATCATCAGCACTTTCCAAGGTTAGGGTGGTATGAGCTAGCAAATTATACTTTGCACCACTAGTGGTGAGAAAGAAGACATATTATAAGTAATTTTATGTTCTCTATTATGTAATATACTTATAAATTAACAAAATAACAACCTGATTTTAAAAATGGGCAAAGGACTTAAACAGACATTTCTCCAAAGAGGAAAACACCAAAAAGCCATATTCAACATCAACAGTCCTTTGAATACAAATCAAACTACAATAAGACATCACATCATACCCATTATGATGGCAATTAGTAAACACAACAACAGATGCAGAAAGTAAGGAATGTTGGCTAGGATGCAGAGAAACTGGAACCTTTGCATATTACTGACTCTAACTCTCTCCCTGTTTCCTCATTCTCCATTTTATAATGCCTGGTCACTTCTACACAAATTAAAGTGGGGCACAATTCTTGCTGAATTCTTTCTCTCAATTGCAATAGCATATCCTGATTAAAATCTGTACTTACCCCTTTAACTAATGCCCAGCTTTGTTTTATCTTTTACAAAATGAATCTCCTTCTAGTTCAAACATGACTTCAAAGATTTGGAATTCCTATCTATAGTATGGAAGAATAGATGACTTTATTACTAATTCAATTTTTATCACTATATAGCCACTTCTATGCTACTTAAGCTAAAAGAGCATTCTTGCCAAAACATCTAGGAATTTTGGTGACAAATTTCATATCCTGGCATTCTGTGGTGATAAGAAGATAATTTTTTTAATAACAACTTTATTTTCTGTACTAATTTAAATTCATTTGTGACTTTTCTTGGTTTTTATTGACTAAAACAGTAAAATACCCAAACATGAAAGAGTATATTAAAAGAGAAGAAAAACAAAGAAAAAAATGTGGATAAACTTTAAGAGACCGATGTCTGATGGGAATATTTATTAATTGTGCCAGGTGATACATTTCATAAACCTCCTTTGTCTCTTACTAAATCTTTAATGAAATCTTTATAACAAAATAAGCATAAAATTAATAGCCACACAATGTATGTATTTTTTTTAAATAAACAAAGACCCAGCCCATAGAATGTTCCCCACGGGGAGAATGTCTCTTGGTTTTTAATGTACAATCATCACTAAAGACTAGAAATATCTCTCAATACACAATGTTTTAGGTCAAAATATATATAGGAAAATTTATGTTTCTGTCTCCAAATCTCAACTTGACATTTTAAACAAAACAATGCATGAGTAAATTTCAAGTCACATTTAACAATCAGTATAATGTCAGACTTACATTGTAGACTCCTGGAAAGTTCACTAAGTATCAACAAATCTCCACTACTGCTAGAACTAAGAGAGATATTAGTCTCACACTTAATGTGGGCCACTTTCAAGGCTCTACAGAGCTATTCAAAAATAGCTTTTATTTTTGTCTACTGTCTATACAATGAGTCTCTCAAAGTTGAGGAATTATTAGATGAAACTGTGGAGAAAGAATTAGTGTAATTAAGACCAGCAATTACAATGGAAGAGCTGTTATATAAAAACCTATATATTCATAATCACATGAGTTTTATGGATTTTATTCTGTGTGAGATATAAACCAAATGGTGAGTTTTCATCAGAAGAATGTGTTATGGTCTGCTTTGTACCATAATTAAACGATGGCTCTGACTTCTGTGTTGAGAACAGACTACAGGGGCCAAAAGTGAAAACAAAGACTTCAACTAGAAAGCTCCTCCAACTGGCCAGGCAAGGCTAGAATTGGATGGTAGTGATACAGTGGTAGAAAGTGGTAAAATGTTCTTGATAAATTCTAAATGTTGACTCAATGGAAACATTAATTGTGGAAGAAAGGAAAAGAATCAAGAATATTTCTGAGTCTAAGTCCAAGCAATTAGAAAAGTGGAACTGTTGTTGTTGTGGTTTGGATCTGGAATGTCCCCTAAAGGCTCATGGAAGACTTAGTACCCAATGCAGCAATATTTGGAGGTGGGCTTGTGTGAAGTGACTGGATCATGAGGGTTCTACCTACATCAATGGATTATCCAATTGATGGGTTCACCTGTGAATGGCCTACTGGGAGGTGGTAGAAACTGTAGGAGGTAGGGCCTAGTTAGAGCAGTAGGCTACTGGTGGTTGTGACCTAGGAAGGTCTATCTTGTCCCTGGCTACTTTTTCTCTTTCTTTCTGCTTCCTAGCCACCATGAAGTGAGCAGCTTTTCGTTGCCATACCTTCCACGATGTTCTGCCTCACCACAATCCACCATCAATTGAATCCTCTAAAACTGTGAGCCAAAATAAACTTTTCTGCCTTACAGACACATTTCTCAGGCATTTTGTCACAGGATGGAAGGCTAAAACAGTTATTTACTAGAATGAGGAAGAAAGAGAGGAACAGATATGGAAAGTAAGAATTTAATTTTGGACAAGCAAGTTCAATTGCTTCAAAAGTCTAGATTTATTATTGGGTAGACAGGTAGGGTACAGCCTGGTGACAGTGGAGGAAAAAGTACTGGATATATAAATTTGGGAATTACCAGTATGTCTATGAAATTTAATCAAAGTTATAGAGTCCTGTGAAGTCCAATGGCCAAATACTCCATCATTTCAGATTAAGCCGAAAAGCAAGAGGCGAGAGAAAAGGAACAGGTGAGAGAAAAGGAACAGTCACCATGGTAGAAGAAAAAAACCAAGAAATCAGTATCCTAGAAGGTGAAGAAAAAGCTATTTTATGGATAATGATGAATTTTGTTATTAGTCTGAAGGTCTAGGAAGAACACCAATAATTGATCATCAGATGTGGTCACATATAGATAACTGTTGACCTTGACAAGGAGTAGCAATTTCTGCAAGATAGGATGAAAGTATCACAATGGAAATCATTGAAACAGTCTGAAAGAGAATGGGAAGAGAGGAAGTGGAGACAGAAATATAAAAAGCTCTTTCCTATAAAGGACAGCTATGGAAGGGGAGGTGTTTATGTGTGGGGGAATGATGCAGTAGAAGAAAAGCTAATAATATAGGAGAAGGGGGAGCCAGCTCTGACTAAGGGAGAGGATGGAATCTAGTTCACAAGCAGATGGGCCTAGATACAAAGGCAGTTCACAAGGAAGGAAACAAAACAGATACAGATGCAGGTGGATGGAGGAAATCTGAGTTGTTTTCTGATTACTTCAGAAATATCCCTGATATATGAAACAAAGTCATCAAGTGTGAATGAGGCATAAAAAGGGGATACCTAAAGTTAGCAAAGACAGAAATTATGTGAAATAACATAAAAAGAGGTAAAGTGGGAGATATGAAAACCTAGTAGAACTGTTCAGTCATATACCGAGAACCATCTATCTAGAATGAACAAAGCAGAATGAACTGTTTTTCTCCAGCTTCTTCATTTATACCTCATAAGTGTAGGTACACTGCAAAGATGCTAAGGAGAATGTAACCAAGGTTGAAGTCCTTCTGAGGTACGCATGACAAAAGGAAAGATATGCTGGGAAAGAATAAAATAGTAAATCTTGAAGTCTAAACTAAGCTGGAGCAAGAATACTGAATGAAAGAACCTGGAAGATGTGGTAAAGACTGAAAAACCTACTATAAAGATTTTAGAGAGCATGTAATTATTAGTAATGACAAGACCAAGGAAACAATCATGGGATAGATGCTGAAAAGGACAGGATCAATGGAGGCAAGAAGGTCATGAAACTAAGAGATCAAGTTACTAAACAGGGTGTCTACAAGTATACAAAGAAATTTTAAGAGTGACACTGTAATTTATTCTCACTGATCACCAAAAACACTTGAGTAGTCTTCATTTTAAGAATAGTAATTTCAATACACAGTGGAATACAAAATATTGCTATTAGTGTGCACTGGAAGAAAACTTATAAACTGTGCACCTGAACTTGGAACACTGTAGAAGTGGCATGTTTAGGGAGCAATTTGTGTGGCAGAATAGGCTAAAGTTATGTAATGACCAAATTACATGTTTAAATTGTTTTTCAGGCCTTAAGTGATGATTGTGACTGGGAATTTTCTTCCTCAATTACTTTAACATAAATATGTAAGACATTAACCTCTATTTCCCATGAATGCTACATGTGAAAAGAAGAATACAAAAAAGTTATTGACATCCTCCTAAGAATGGTAAAATTAGGATATAACCAACAAACAGATAATATGGCTGTTAAAATGATTAAAGACTCTAGAATAACTTTGGAGAAAACAGTATAATTAGTAATGTCTAAATATCTCCCAAAGCTAGGCATTTAAAAACCTGGGAGAAAAATACCACCTCAAAATTTCAGAAGGTTTTAATTTACAGTGGTTGAATATAAGAAACATTTTTTCTCTTCTTGATTCTATTTCTCAAATTTATATAACTTTTCTAATAAAATAACTAATGTGGTTAAATGATACTACAATTAAAACCATCCCTAAGAATCAATTACATGCAAAGTACTATAATACTACATCTACATATATTAAATTTAAGGCACTTTCACAATTAATATCTTTTTTAATATTCAAAACAATTACCTTGGGTAGGTAGGGCAGATATTTCAGCCTATATTTTCAAATGGAAAAAATGAATTTCAGAGAATTTAACTAACTTGCCTGTAGCTAACAAGAAGGCCCTACTATACCATACTACTTTCATGCTTCATTAATCGTTTAAAATTAAGAAACCTTTTCAATTAAAACAAATACAAGGGCTGTTGATGCGACTCAGTGGTACAGTACTTGTATAGCATGCACAAGGCCCAGGGTGTGATGCCCAACACCACCAAAAACAAACAAACAAAAAACAAAACTAAACTAAATATATAGTACATAGTGACATTTTACTCCAAGAATTTTGAGTGTAAGAGCCTCGAGTTAACCTCTGAATACAATGTACCACCTGACATAATTGCAGAATAATCATTTCTAAATGATTAAACAAACAATTATATGCAGAAGTAAATAAGTCTTTACTCATATTTAAAAACTGCATTATCTTTCACAACCTCAAATATTTAATAATCTTGCTCCTAAAACATAAATAATCTATATATCTAGACAAGGATTAGGATAATTGCTTTGTAACTCCAGTGTAATTTAAAATGTAATATTGTGCCTTATTTTTAAATATTTTAATACAAATTTTTGTACAGTAAAATATCACACTTGATTTTACCAGTTTTCACAAAATTATATTTTAAAAGGTATATGTTTATTCAGTGAGAATAATGTACTAAATAGTTAAAGGAACATGAAATAGATAATTCAGCTATTAGAGGAAATAGCAAAGTTGAATTAAAGGAATTTCAGTAAGCTAAATTCCACAAATAAAATGAATAAATGAATCACATTAGGGAGCATACTAAAAATTACCAAAAATGTTCACTGTCTTCTTTCAGATCCAACAATACTTTATGATGATATTTCAAGTTACTTCATTTTTAAACCATGACTAATTACAATGCCATTGCTTCCAAAACCAACAATGACTTCACTTTTAAAACATTCTTGTCAGGATAACATTTTCTTTCTAAAACATTACACTCATTCCTTTTAGCCAACCCTAATATTGAGTTCCCAAAAGTTTAATCAGCTACATTTTTAATTGAATAGACCAACAATTATAACATGAGGGTGGTGATGTGAAAAACAACTATTTTAAACTGTAGTCTGAAATAATGCCCTTTTATAAGGAAAAATAGCTATATTTGGTCACATGTCATATTACCAGGAAAGATATACATTGTTACATATGTGTTCATTTTGGTTTAAAACTAGAATCTACAGAAGTCTTCAGAGTGAACTAGATCACACCTCTAGAGCAAAAAAATTAATCATTTTATGCATTTTGATTACTAATGTTATTCTCAAAACTCCTGTCACGGTGCTAAAGTGGACAGTTTAAGGAAGTACCAGGTAAAAATAGGGGAGGGGAGGGAAAGGGGGATAGAAAGGGCAGCAGAATAAAATAGACATTATTATTGCTGTAGGTATGTATATAGGTGACTGTATGACCAATGTGATTCTGCAACCTGTACAATCAGAAAAATGAGAAATTATACCCCATTTGATTCAAATGTATGAATTGTCAAGATCATTGTACTGTCATGTGTAGCTAATTAAAAAAAAAGAACATTAAGATGTTGGCTTATGAAATAAAATGTTGGCTGACCAAGCTCTTAAAAAAAAAAATAGTCCTTGTATAACCTAGTATACTCTGGATTGACCAGAAGTGAAGAGAATGCTGGTATTAGGAGCACATAATATGATGAAGTGTTATACAAGATATTATTGTATCTTTTGACCAACTATAATGGGACAAAATAAGCAAATGGCAAAGTTGCATGAGAAATGTTCATAAAGAAAATTAGCATTTGAATTCTGGGACAAACCAAGTAGAATGACAAATGTGACTAGCAGAGTGAACACTTACAGAAATGCATGCCTATCCCTATGAAAAAGAATTTAAGACAAAATAATGTTATTCCTCCAACTACCTCGAGGCTTCAAAGAGAAATACATGTTAAATATAGGTTCTAATATAATTTAGAATATACTTAGCTAAATATAGTTTCTAATATAATTTAGAAAATATTTAGCTAGGAAATTATTAACATGACTTTAAATTTTAAAAAAGTCTCTACATTTTATAATTCTATGTCAAGTTTCAGCACACATTTAAGAGAGGGCTTAGAAAACGCTGGTTAAACAACAGTAAAAAGAGTAACAATAATGGCAAGAGCTACATTTATTAAATGCTTATTCGATCATGTCCACAAATTATCTTTCTGAACCTCAACAATCTTATGGAGTGAGATGATATTGGTGTTATTATTATTATTCTCATTTTAGAGAGGATTAAAAAAACAGAGTATATTAATTTGCACTGGGTCAAGTAATAAATGATAAGTAATAAGTGACAGAATAAGAAATTGAGTATTCGCTGTCCAACAACGAAGTTTTTAATTGTTTGAAGACTCCATTTGTTATTTTGCATTCTTTGAAGGTTGTATTAACCCTGGGAATGTCCCTAAGAAACTTTTTAAAAGAGAAATGGCTCTATCTAAGCATCTTTAACTTTCATTTAAGCAAACTGAGACCCAGAGAGAAACGTAATATGCCCAAGATATAGTATAGCTGAATAAGAGACACTACTGGTCCTGCTATTTCTTAAATGAGAAATTCTGCTGCTTAAACATTTTTTAGACTATTGAACTAAGTAATTATCTCTAAGGTCTCTTTCAGTTCTAAAACCTATGTTTCAACCTGAACATAGAATTATTTAATCATCAAAAAAAAAAATAGTTCCATTACCTTTTGGTTGAGTTAAAGTACTTTCCAGCAAATCCTTGACACAATCTTAATGTAGAATAGTTTTTGAGATAGTCTTAGATCTAAAGGATGAAAATTAAAGGTCCTCTGACCCCTTTGAAGTGAGATTTTTATTGGAAAGACTCACATTTTCTTTGATTGTTTTTTTGACTGTTGAATGAGCCCTATTCATGAATAATAAAATCAACTGAATGATCCAGATACCTTAAAAAAACTAAAAAAAAAAACCCAAAAAACAACTAAAATAGAACAGATATCTAATAATTATATTATAAATAATAAAGGTCAAGTTTTGCCTCATGAAATCTATCTGTTTATATAATTGCATTCAGTTAAGATATAAAATATATGTTAGCATAAGCCTCAATCAAAATTGATGGAAAGTCATTATGCTAGAGTGCCAACACACATTTCACATGTAATACATCTGACATGAGTTATTTAATTACATTTGGATGACTGATGCTTCCAGGATCTATACCTAAAATACTTCATTCTTTGTTATTACAGTAAAACTGCAGACATGCTGAAGAGTCGATTATATTAGACATGTAAAGAAATTCTAGAAATGCCTAATCAATGGTTTCCCAATAAAACATAAATATAAAACTATTTGAGGAAAAAACCCAAACACAATGTTTGAAGAAGGTATCTGAAAGAAATCAATGCTCCATGGAGAAATGGTGATTCCAAGTCTGTATAGAGAAACAGAAGACAAACAGTGAACATTTTTATGATGGCAGGAAGAGAAGAAGCTATCAATGTTTAAGTAGTATCAGAAGGATGCAGGAATCATCTTGAAGGTTTCCCACTGATCAAAGATGCAACAGTTTGGGCATCAAAGAGAAGAAGAAGAACTATAACAGAATGAAACACAAAACAATAGAAAGTCAGAGTTCAAATAAAACAACAGTATTTACTTCCATGGTTCCTAGGGTATCAACTTATTTTAAAACTTGGTACATGTTAAGAATCAAGTAGTTTTCCCTCTAAAAGTTTTATTGTAGTTGTATACAGAGAATTTATAAGGGAACAGTCAAGAATGCCAGTTTAGGAAAAAAGTACAGGACAAATTTAGGAAGTCACCTAATTATAATCCCTAATGAAGTAATGAGTCATCAGTAATAGCTGTAAAAAGCATTAGAAAAAAGACTGATAGGGAACTTTATAATGTATGGATCAGGGTGGCAAGTGGAACAAGGATTGGGAGACAGTAGGAAATATACCTAATGATATGAAGAATCATTACCCTGAAAGAATTTGAATCTAATCAGTGCTGCAGATCTAACTACCAGGTTATAGAAAGTACAGGGGCCAGAAAAAAAATGTTTTAAAAAGATCATAAAGGTACAATCAGATAGATTCAAACTACAGAAAATCCTACAAGACCTGGTTTCTTCAAAAAATAATGACTAGCAAAAAAGAGAGAATTGCAATATTTATATTTTTAATGTAATAATATAGACTTGTTTGGATGCTCTTTTTTTTTTTTTTTTTTGGTACTAGGGTCACTTAACTACTGAGCCACATCCCCAGTATTTTTCATTTTGAGATAGGGTCACATTAAGTTGCTGACTGCCTCCCTAAGCAGCTGAGGCTAGCTTTGAACCTGCAATCCTCCTTCTTAGGCCTCCCAAGCCACTGGAATTACAAGCATGCACCACCTCACCCAGCAATCTGTTTGGATTCCGATTTGAACAAACAAATCACAAGAGGGCATTTTAAGAATGGTACAATTTGAATATAGGCTAGATATTAGTTATATTAAAGATATTTTTATTTCATTTGATGTAATAGTGATAATGTAAGTTTATTAAAATGTGATTAAAAAAATTTAAGGTCTATGAGAATAAATCATACTATACATACAGAAATCCAACTAGGAGACTTAAATGTAGCAAAAATGAACAGACACACAATCCCTTCTCAAGAAAAACATTTCATCTTTCTGGTAGATATTGGAATTCCAAACTACTAAAATACTGTGTCAATGACTTCCTACCTTCAAAGGAAAATACTACACTTAACTCAGCTGGGTAAATGTCAGACAACTAAGTTTTGTTTCTGCTTCAGGATGCTTTTCCATTCAAAACATAAACACATACTCCATATATTATACTTTGAAATATCACAAACGTATATTATGTTACCATAAAAACTGTATTAGAAAACTTACACAGTAGTAGAATTGAAGAACAAACATGTTTCATGATTCTCTTCCTGAAGCACTGAATTTATTTTCTTTCCTGTAGCTTTACTTATAGATGTCTTAAGTTTCTTAGCTAGCTTTTTTGGTGTATTGGTTATGGGAGATTCTTCTGTACAGCAACTATACATTTCCACCTTTATCTGAAAGTCTGGTCCTGCTTCATTACTATAAACAAAGGCATTCATATTAGAAATTTAATTCAGTAGAAAATAAAATTACAACGTCCTTTGATGTTTCCATAACATTCAAAATCAGCATTTACAATGTAATGAGACAGAATCTTCCTGTTTATTTAGTATCTAAATAATCTAAGCATGTCACTACAACTTTCAGAGCTATCAGCTTCTAAAGTAAGACAAACTTAACTCAGTAAAACAAATGTATAAAGGCATATTACTTTAAAAGAATAAAATGCTATGGTCATTCTGTTCCAATGCTATTTGTCCTTTTCAGGCCTTTAATACCACTGTTTTTAAGGTATTTAAATTACATGTATAACTTCTTGATATAATTGTTCCCCCCAAACAAAATCTGCTGAACCTTTAGTTTCTTTTTTTTTAAAAAAAATTATGACTCCATTTATATAAAATGTCCAGAAGGTAAAATTATAAACACAGAAAGATCAGTGGTTGCCTTGGGAATAGAGGGTAGTGGGGATTTACTACACACAGGTTTAAGGTAATGTTCAGGGTGATGGCGATATTCTAAAATTGAATTTGAACATTTAGTTTTCATTTCTTCTTCATAGTCACTTAGTCCCCTTACCACTGGGTATCCCATCCCCATTTCTGTGACCTAATAACTATAAACAACATTTCACTTTTTGGTTATATAGGAGAGAAAAATGTCACAAAGCTAACAGAAATGATAACACGTTCAGGCATAAATTCCTTGGGATGTGCTGTCTTGGTTATCTTTGTATTCTTAACCCAGCCTTGTGCCTGGAACTAGAAGGTACTCAATACACATTTATTAAACTCATATGAAGAAATTCTGCAATTTGAGCAAATACTAAGATTGGCTTTGCCTATTTTCAGACACAATGAACTACCTTTAGCATAAAATATTGTGGTGGTGTTACTAACAATAAAATAACTTAAGACTGCAAAAGAGGTCTGTCAGCAACAGATGTTGCCTGCAGACAGAAGGTCTAACGGTCTCAAAGATTTTAGAAATGCAACATGAACTTTTTAAATGGCCAATCTATAGTTTGGATAAATCCAAGAAACAACTTCCAGATATTTTTATAGTTTATTATTTGGCAGCTTCTAAACATACAGTATTCCTGGTAATGACTAACAAATGTCAATATTTAGAGGAAAACCAGAGCTTCATAAATATTGAATACTTATTAAAAACAATCATCATAACAAAAAGCACATTTTTAAACATTTAGAACATTTGTCAGCAGTTATTTTTAGAACAATTTTAAATATTTACAGAATTTTAAAAAAATTATAAATCATGTGTTTTCTTCCCAAGTAATTCGTATTGTTCTTGAACCTTTGAAAAACAGTCTGATTTTTGGCTTTGTGGTAAAAATAAACAATAGCAAAGTGATGTGAAGAAAAGAGTCCCATTAACAGGATAATTTTTTCAGAAAAAAAATTTCTTAACAATAGTTGATAATGGAAATAAATATATTTAGATAACTAGGGAAAACATTTAGCCTCAATTATCTTAAGTATTAGGGGTTGTTTGAGAGGAGAGGGACCCTAAATAAATTCCTTTGGTTTAATACAGCTTATAAAAAGACCTGCATTACTACTAATAACTCAGAACAATACATTTTATTTTTCTGCACTATACAATTACTATGGGACACTGGACCAGAAGCCACAAAATATGGTTTGCTGTAGTCTTTCTAATGTTAGATCTGAGTGGCAAAACTAGTCCTCTGAATTCTCAGCTGAAGCTCCACAGCTAAAAATGGCAGAAACCATGTATATTGATTTTACTTAATAGTTCAGTAGATATTAACATTAATATATGAAGATAGTCTTTGAAAGCCTGAAAGAAACACAAATCCCATACTAATTTAGGCCAATTTGAAAGAGGGCAGGAAAAACTTATGTTGGTTAAAAATTATTTCTATGGCTACCTGTGGTGTTCTTTCTGGTTCTGTATTATGACCACAATAAAAAGAGCCTGTAAAAGAGCAGGGGCAATAAAAACAGCCCTGAGGATCACCCATTTTTTTTTTATTGTTTGGGAGTATATGAAAGAAGCGCACCATAAGAAAAAGAACACCCCCAAATTTACCAAAGTGGTTTTTCTTATGATTCATATTTCAGGAATATCTTATAAATGAATCTGTTTTACTGTTTTTTGTATTTCTGTAATTAAATTTCTTATTGAGATAGAAGAGTCTGTTTTATGTTCAAATTCATTCTATATCAAACAATGCTAAGTGAAATTCCATTCTAGTCATAGTTTAGTCAATAATGGAAATATATTTACTATAAAATGTTTTAAAATTTATCATATCCAATGAGTCAAATATTCACTGCTAATATTCATTATAAGATTTCCATTTTATTTTACATCATAAATTTGCATATGAAAAATGGCCTCATTTTGAATAAAGTAAGACTACAATGACCCAATAAATAGACCTTCATCCAAAGGCTCCCAAACTAAAATTCTTTAAGAAAACAAACAAACCCAGAAAGAAAAAAATCTTCATAGATACTTTCATTCTTTGAAGATTAAAGATACTTACAATATTGTTACATTTTCAAAACATATATCTGTGATTGTTTTATCCACAATCACCATGTCAGTATCAAAAACTTCAGCTCCCATTTTGAATAAACAAAAAATGGCATAGCGCTGTGATCCTATAGAAGACAACATTTTAAGCAGCAATACATACAAGAAATATTGACATTGTCTTAAAATCATTTGAAAATGAAAAGTATCAGCTTAAATATTTGTTAATAGATTCTAATTTTCATACATTGTATATTGTAACCTTTAACCTGTTTTAATAGCTATTCTGTCAGTATACAGTAATACCTTATTCAACTAACAAATATCTTTAAACCAAAGAGTATTAAAAAATTAAGTTAAACATAAAGAACTCTAAAGGACTATCAGCAGGCTAAAGAAACAACCAAAATCATGAACTTTATTACCAGAAAACTCTTAACTCTTAATTAATAACGAATTTATTGTTATGTACACGCTATCACTTCTGTCATTTTGGTCCCCAAGTTTATTTAAGAAAAAAATGTTTTTTATTAGAAGAGGTTAAGAGTAGACACATTAACAACAGCAAAACATTTTCCACCAAACTAAAAGCAAGGGAGGAAACCACAAAAAAATAAATAAATAAATTAAAAGTAGACATGGGAACACAAAAAACATAGCTGCTAGGCCTTTTAATTTGGTGATGTTATAAAAGTATTAGGTGATTAAAGGGCTAAATCCTCATTATTGAGAAACCAGCTCTTTAGAAAAATTTATTCTCTATAGAAATCAGATTTACTTAATTCCCACATGCATTCCTTTGAAAAATAAATTATATTTCCTAATTGAATAACAAACACTAAACTGATTTTAAATTCTTCATATAAAACTAATTATGCTCAATATGATTCAGTTTTTCAAGTATGAGGAACAAAGCCATCACAATAGACAAAAAGATAAAGGATTATCACATCTTTTCTCTTTGCCTCTAACAACGAGAAATCATTTGAGGTTAATTTCCATGACCTAAGCAATACGAAGATGTGTGAAGACCATATAAAGTCATAAAATGCTGAAGAAGAAAAAACATCAGATCAAGCTAAAAATCTTTCTTTATTACATCCTGTTAAATAATCTGAAGTAACAAAATAAAGCAGAAAAGATCCCCCAGATTCTAGTCAAAGAAATGTTGCCTTTACCTTTATTCTGTGAGCATTTTTTTTTTTTTTACTTCCACATTTTCCTTCCTGTCTCACCACCCTGAACCCATTAGTTACTATCCTTGCACAGGTTCTGATAAACAACTAAAAATTACATTTGCTGTGCATCATATCTTAATTAGTCAAAAGGAACAACATATTTATATTAAAAATCAGAAAACAGTTCAACAAGATTCTGGTTATTCTGTCAAATGACGTCAATTTATTTATTCACTAAAGGTAACTTCTCAATTACAAATTAAAATCTTACATACGTTCTTTGCTGCTGAAGTGATCAGAGTCTTTCCACATTAGTGGTATTCGAACATCTACAAATAAGGTGGAAAATGACAAGTAATAATTCAGTAAGTTTTATTTATTACAGTGACCTGAACTTCTGAATTCTATGACAGATTCTGATCACTGAAACCAAAATGAAATGTATTATATAACAGCAAATTTTCTAGTTGCTTTTTATGATTTGTACATGGACTAATTATTTACACGCTTATTTATTTATTTTTGTGGTAGTAGAAATTGAATTCAAGGGTGCCCTACCACTGAGCCATATTCCTAACCCTTTGAGATGGGATCTTGCCTAGGCTGGCCCTGAACTTGCAATCCTACTGCTTCAGGCTCCATAGTCTCTGGAATTAGAAGTGTATGCTATTATATGCCCAGCCTAGTTTGTACTCTTAAAAGCTATTTTATATGTCTGAAATTCTGAAGCATGTGAGGTGAAAATATAAACATTCTTATAAGAATAATTGTTCTGGCTCTACATATATACCCTTTTCTTCCTCACTGATTTATGATGTTATATTTATTAGATATGCCATTCTGAACAAATGTTGCCAGGCTATCCACTTTATGGATTCAATTAGATCATTTATCAATTGCTAAATATCCTAAAATCAATACCATAATATTATAACTATTGTTCCTTTATATTCTACTTCAGAAATAGGTTTTTTGGAAGCATTTTATGCTAATTTCATTATATGAATTTTCTTCCCAAGTGTTTCATTAGTACTATATTCTATTATCCATATTAACTTGGAAACTAATAACTTAATAACAGTTTGTCTTTACATACAGTAGTATATTTACTGTTACATTTTAACAAAGGTTATCACTATGTATTTAATGGTTTTGTTTTTTGTTATTTTCATTGTAAAGTAGATCTTTTTTGCCATTATATTTTTTAGTCAGCTATTTCTAGTTTTGAAATTGCCATTTTTTATATTTATCTTAAATCCAGCCACTTTTTACTAAATTATTAATTCAAATAGTGTTTCAGTAAATTCCCTTAGGTTTTTTAGGTCTGCAATCCATTATCTTCAAATATTCAATTTGTCTATTCATTTTCAATAGTTTCATCTTTTATTATTTTAGCCAGAATTTCCAAAATGGTGTTAAATTATATTGACATAATAGACATTGTTATTTTGTTCTTGATTTTAACGAGAATGATTTTATTATTTTATAATTATTATTTAGCTAATGTCCTGTCAAAGAGCCCACTCTTGCTTGACCACAGTTGCTGACTCATTTCATTTCATAACTGTTCTTGTTCGCAGCTGTTCTTACTCTGTTTGGGTAGGATTAACTATTTACACTATCATGGAAAGAACATGGACCCTGACTTCCTTTGCTGTATACCCATAGCCTGTGGGTCAATCTCACCCTTTCCCAGGCCTATCTATGTAAGCTCTGTAAGGTAGACATTTCTTATCAATTTTCTAGGTGGTCATGTACTGTTGAGACAACAAAGAATGTATAACACATTAACTATGTTTCCTAATTCAGCTCCAATGAAGGAAGTTCCTTCCAGATTCTTGCAATGGTTGACTCCATTTTAATTTAGAATATTCTTACCTTTGTTTTTCTTAAGTCTTCATAGAAATTTAGTAATAAACCAAGAGAGTCAAATTAGGATAGTTAACTTAAAAGTATCAGATCCTTTAAGTCTATTAAAGATATTTTCTAAAGGGAAAATTGAGGTACTAGGAAATTGATTTGGTTTAGTCATTGAAAGAGTAGTTAGTAAAAAACATGAGACAATTACCACAGTGTTATTATTTGGTGCTCAGCAGAAAGAATCAAGATAAGCTTATTATTCTTTTTACATTTGTAGAGATCTGGCCAGTGCGTGGTGAAGCTGAAAATGGAAAATCCAGTTGTCTCCTGACAATGAAAGTAATCTCAGAAACATTATGAAACTTTGCTGCAAATTTATTTTGGCCAAAATAAAAGTCACATTTTCATGCCCATGGCAAGAGAAAATGGAATTACAAAGGTAAATTTGTTTTTTAGTTCATTGTTTTTATAAATATACATACAAGACATAATTTAGTCTAGGTTAAGATAAAATTACCTATGTATTCCATCTCTTGAGAGTTTTGGTTCTTTAATTTAATTTAAAATTATCTTTTGAAAGAAGGAACACATGCATAAATAAGTTCAGATATGTGAATGTCTGTAGTCATGAAGGTTTTGTTCTTTTATTTTAAATGCTTTAATTTAGTCTCCCTTCTAAATATATAGTTAATTCTAATATCATGAATTGCAGCAGTCTATGAAATGACAAGAAATGTTGAATCTATCATGGAATTTGAATGTTCAATAGCAATTTAATATATCTCATTTGTATAGTGAATAGTGCCATATTAGAAGCGAAACAAGGATTATGCTTTAAGTATTTATAGAAAATCCCCTTCAAACATCTATCATATTTATTAAGATTAAAATGTTTAAACTTAGAGAACTATTATATAATTGTAATGTTTGGCAGCTAAAGGATACAAGGAGATATAAAACATGTTTCATGTCAGTCTTACAATCTGAAAGATGACAACATGAATATAAATAACTATAAAACAAGCAACAGATTTCTCAATATAGTTTAATTCTTTTTCTGAAAATTTTTTTGCTTAGCTGCTGGAAATTTCTGATTTTAGCCAAAAATGTCCTAAATAAAGTGCAGGTCTTTTCTTTCTGGATGATAATGTCTGTTTAGCCATAAAGTGAATGGTGAAGCTGGAAATGGAAAACAGTTCTTTAAGTGGCAGGGGCTGAATCGTAGCAGCAGACTCCCTAATACAATGCTTTTGGCCAAGGAAATAAACCACTTATTTCTTAAGGACTGATAGAGGTCCTATTGTTTCCAAAATGTACTGATGAGATAATATTTGTAAAAGTGCATTTTCTTAACAGTGTACACATGAGTCAGTCATGTATTCACTTAATCTGAGGCATCTCCATTGTCTTATAGTTTCCTTAACACTTGGAGAAACTGAGACTACACAGCATAAGTGCCATCTAGTGGTAAAAGTTCTCCTAACTGTATTAATAACTCAAAGGAAACATTTCTAACAGGGGAGGGTTTGTAGTTGAACAAATATGTTGAAGAAAATTTAATTCTTTCACAAGAATTTAGATGTCTGCCACATAGTGTGTGTCAAAAACAGGAGAAATGTCTGCTTAAAGCAAATGGCTTCTGTATAGGAGTAATGGAAGATGTGGCTAAGAAAAAGAAGAGAGTCAGAAAGGAAAACAGGGAAAAGTTTGGTCTTCATCCTACAGGCAACAAGAGTCATCCATTCAATGAATTTCACTGAGCAATTTCTATGCACCAAGCACTATACCAGCTAGCTTATAAGTATAAAATGATAAACAAAATAAACAGTTCCAACCCCATGAAACTCTTGGTCTAGACAATCATTAAAACAGAAAAGGAATGGTATCAATCAATTTGAGTTTGCAGCCCAGCTCTGCCACTTACAGCAAGTCACTTAACCTCTGAATCTATAGAAAATGAGAATAATTATCCTACCTATTTTACAAGGCTTCCCCAAGGAAAAAAGCACAATATATGTAATGTATAAGACTTCTTTTTTGAGGGGGAGGGTGTCTTTCATTCTTTCTTCTTCTTCTTTTATGTGTGTGTGTGTGTGTGTGTGTGTGTGTGTCTGTGAGTGTGTGTGTGTGTACATGCGCACTGTTAGGATGGAAGCCAGGGCTTCCTCGCACATGTCAGGCAAGTGCTGTACCTCTCAATTATATCCCCAGACCAGCTCCTGAAACATTTTATTTTCCCACACCATAAAGTTCTATTCAAATGTAGAGCATAATGATTAAAATAGATTTATATCAAATATTCAGATACATGTATGAAAAGTAAAATGAAGAGACTGGAAATCGAGAATAAAAACTCACCAACTCTAGTTATTTAATACAATGTATTCAGCAATATAAATATAGCATACCTGATATGGCAACCTTTCCTTTGCAAGCTGTTCTTTCTTTATTTTCAGAATTCATATCACTGTCAAAAGAAAAATTCTAATAAACAAAAAAACTTTTCTAATAAGCAACTGTTTCAAAAAACCTTTTTAAAATGCCTAAATATTAAAATATATACCTATGAATAATCACTTTGTTAATGTAAACTATTTGACTGAAACTTCTTCAAGATATTTAGTCAACAACTAACAATTATTAAGAGAAATACATAGAATCATTCTCTTTTTCGTATAAACTTTGTATTCCTTGATGATTGTATACTGGTCTCTCTAAAATGAAACTCTTTTGTTGCATTTATAAATGAGATAAACAATATTTGTCCAGGTCCCCATTACCTGGAAATGACTATTCCATAAATTACATTTCTAGCTTACTAAGTATAGTGGCTTGAAAAAGTTAACATATTTCCCAATCACATGATGTGCTACTCAAAAGAATACCTCACTCATCTTTATAGAATCTGAAAAACATCCAAAAATTATTCTCTGCTATGTTTCTATGCAGTCAATATCAAAGAACTAAATGTCAAAGAACCAAACGTATACTAGGGCAAATAATAAATTGAAAAAGGAAGACTCTATAGAGAGAACAAAATGTGGAGAGAAAAGTCTGACTATGCCAATAGAAAAAAGTTTCAAAGAATATTCTGGGAATATAAGACATTTGCAAATATAATTAAGAATATACTATCATAAAAAATCCTTCAAAATCAATAATAGTTAACTCCTACTAGATCATAACAACTCCCAATCCTTAAATATTTCCCCAATATCCTTTTCCCTAATAACCTGCATTTACAGATTAGTATTCCATTTCTTTTTTTTTAAGTAGGAGAGTTTTATTGAGTTAGTATTCCATTTCTAAGGCAATACTTCTAAGAGTATTTTTGTATTATTTTTGTCCCTGTTCAACTTGATTTGTCAATTAACTGTCAGCTAATTAGGTAATTCAAATATATGATGAAAACTTTCCATTTGAATACTGTTTGATTCTAAGAGTTTCTGGGAAAAAAAATTGGGTCAGAATTTGAAGTGGAAAGTTATTTAATTTTTAGAAGAGGATCACACCAACTCATTGCCCTCTGCAGGCTTATTAAAAGGACTATCTATTCATATCATGCATCCAATTTGTAAATAAAATATATCGTTTTACTTTTTTACTCCCTTTATGGATTAAACATAAAAGTATCAGAGTTGGCATATAGTCCAAATGAGCTAAAATAATATACTGACATGTTTTAAGTTGTTAAGTTTACATGAGACATTTATAGAATCATACCCAATGTATGATTAAAATAATATATTAGATTCAAAGTCATATATTCTCAGAATCCCATCTAATTACTTTATGCTCATGCCTGATATTTTGGGAATTTATGTAGTTAAAAATATCAGTACTCTATTTCAAAATAATGTTTCTTTGAATCACAAATTTAAAAGTCGAGTTTGACATTAAAATGTGTTATGTTAAAGAATATCATGCTTATTGCTTCATCATGTGGTGAAAAGTTCATCTGAGGAGTTCTTATATATTTTGGAGAAATAACATACTAAAAGGACCACTAGGAATCAAAACACAAATCTCAGTGTCCTCAAACTGGTACAAAAATGCTATACAAATATGGTTGTCTGGCATTTGTAAGCAATAACTTTAAAAGTCAGCTTTTATATGAGCAATACATAATAAAAATTCTTAAAATATTTATTTCAGTGAAAAAATGCAAGGAAGCTCTAAAATGATGGTACCTAAAGTTTATGGAGTAGGTCTATATTTTGCCGGAGTTGAGATCCATTATGTATTATTAAATTGGATTACATTTGAGGCTTTGGCAGGCATGTGAAATTCTGAAATACTACAACCACCAAAAAGAAAACTTGCTGAATATTTACAAGAAGAAAAATTCCCTCTTCAAACTACCTAACCACCTGGCAGAGTACAGCTTTCTTCCCTGCAATTATAAATTATTTGCATAGGCATTTCCAGAAGCATTCACAGCAAACATATTATACACAAATATAATCAAACTATAATATAAATCAAATTAACCATATAATCTTACAGAATAATTTTCTGGATTTTAAAAACATGAGAGGAGGAGAACTCAGCCTCAATTTTCTGAAGCTTAACTTTATTTTCAATTCAAATAATTCCCCAAACTGTTATTAAGGGCACTAAAAGGTGATGTTTTTCTAATTAATCCAAATTCACAATAAAATTGTTAAACATTATCTGTTTAATAATGTGCTGCTGCAGTTCAGTTTGCTACAGTTAAATAAATACTTGTAGAAAATCTGCAATGTTAATGCCAATTCTGAATTCTATGATTAGAGAGCCAGCCTGAGGAAAAAGCAAATAACCACAAATTACTAAAAGAATTCACAAATAAATAATAGTGTGCTTTATTCATATGAACCTAGTTTGAGGCATGATTTTGGTGAGGCTTGTAAATGCTAACTTATAAGATCAACATATAAAAGACAAATTTTTAATTGTATTTTATTACTTATATTTCTGCCTGTAGGTAAATAAAATGACCAAAAGAGGGTGCCAATCTGCCACTTTGTTGCTCAAATATCTGTGTTAAAATTGACTGAGTAAACACAGATTATCCAACTTATTGTTACATAAGGGAATTTAAAATTAACAAGTTATAATGAGAAATAGCACAATGATAAAAGTATTTTACATTTTCATAATTTAATACTTAAAGAATTCTAAATGGTATTCTATTATTTGAAAAGAGGTTATAAAATCCTTCACTTTTTATACAAGTAAATGAAAACAGAAAACAGAAATGTTTAGCATGGAATTTTAACCTTTCTTAAAACCATGTGGTATAAATTAATAGCTTCAGAAATATCTTAAATTCTACTCCAAATGTGATATGTTTTAAAACAGTAATGTTTGCAAATGCATATTTCATTATAGAACTACTAACATAATTTTTAACTTCCAATCTACACTTTTTAATTTATAGTACAAAAGCAATAAACTAGGAAACTGAAGTATAAAAAAACAAGTATAGTCATCTCATAAAACTTGCAAGATTATTTTAGCATTATTCAAAATATCACAATTATGTTGAACGACACACATAATTAAGTACTATAAATGACTCTAATTAGCATTTTTTTAAAGATAGACACAATATCTTTATTTATTTATTTTTATGTGGTGCTGAGGATCAAACCCAGTGCCTCACATGTGCGAGGCAAGCGCTCTAATGCTGAGCTATCCCCAGCCCCTATTTAGCATTATTTTTACAAAGCCAAATAAAGCATTTCAGAATTTAAGTCAACAAGAGATGGATTGGGTGGGGTAGGGGACATGGATGGATAGATGATATTGCTAAGATGTAAGATCTGCGAGTATAGAGGGATTTTTCAGTCCATCTATTTTGTTTTTTGCTATGTAACAAAATATCTGTTCTACAGCTCAGTGCTTTCTATGGCACTAGTGAATGAGTACTACTGTTGAATAAACTGAAATAAGGATACGGTCATTTTGATGGAACAAACAGTAGGATCTGGACTCAAGCCTTAGGTTTGGATTTCAGGCATTAATTACTGGTTATGTTCACAAGTTGCTGTTAACCTCTTAACTTTATTAGCCTTATTTATAAAATGGGGAAAATATCTAGCTCACAGAGCTACTCAACGACTTCATATTTTAAATGTATCATATGTCTTTCTTTAAAATATTACACAAATAAAAGAATTACTGGGATTTTTGGCCCAAGTGTTTATCTTTGGGCTTACACAGAAAAGGCACTAGATCATTTGCCAAAGTAATCAGAGTTTGACTTGCCAGTTCTTGTAAAATAATGGTGGCCATCAAAATCTGATTCTCTTTACTTATTCTACAAAAGCCTTCAGATAAATAAAGAAAACAAAATCACCTATAGTTTATACTGAGGATATAACTAAAAAACAGAGACTACTATCAAGCATCAATTTTACATAATGGGG